TCAACAGTCTCCTTCTCATCCTCTCGACTCTCAAAAACTTAAGAAAACGCGACAAATAATAATATCATAAAGTTAGATCCACCCGATTGCCAAACGCAGGGGTCAATGCAGGCTTATGTAAGTGGTCGTGACTTGCATAACCATGGTCCTTGCGGTTTGACAGATAAGAGAATCGTTACATGAGAAATGGAACATTTTTAAGGGAATCACGAGACCTCCGTTAAGATTAACGCATGTTACCGCCGACGGCTAATGAATAAAAATAATAGGACAACTATCGAATAGGTACTAAGATAAAATACAAGAATGCGAAATTTAACATTCAGCAGCGGGTCGAGCTATAAATTTTTTACAATTCTTAAAACAACAGATGCGTATCGACATGGAGGCTCGTACTGCTATCACAGCTGTCAAGTATCTGTTTAAGGGCTTTGATCGAAATGATAACCTGTGGTCTGCGTTGCTAAAGAAAGAAAGAGAAAGAAAGTGATTTGAATTCAGTAATATCGCTCTATTCCTGAGCGCAAGTTACATATCGCCGGTGAGAGAGTGTATACGCCTCCTTTACTATCGGTGTTGTCATGACTCAGCGAACCGTGCAAATCCGTGACACAGTTTACCGAAAAGCTAATAGAGGAAAAAGTTGCCACGTTTGAAACATTGATGAAGCCGGCCTTTTCTGGTCCGCAGAGAAACTATGCTGACATAGTTTCGATAACCAAGTTGCTGATATCAATCATTACGTTCCTTAATGCCCTCAATTGGATACAAATTAAGAACTTGAATTGAAATAAATTTCTGCGGCTATTGAACGCCTGTGCAGTGAATTACCAAGAAATATGGGGCATCTCCATTTTAGACTTTTTTGCCAACAAAAGTGACCTACGCTGTACGAAATAATTTGAAACTATTGGTAGAAGCGAAGTGTGTACAATATTCCGGAATGCTTTTTGCAATTGGGGTGTCTTGGAAGCGATGTGGATTTGGCGTCATGCATGACAAAGGCGACATATTCTCTACTATACTGATTGTGCCAACACCTAGCAACTACCTTGTTTCCTCTCAAAAGGGGAGCTTCAAACTCTTTAAGATGCGTTAACGCACAATACAGTTTGGCAATTGAAAAACAGTCCGGTTTTACACGTTTAAATATAAAAACGATATACTGCAGACAAACGGATTTTGGGTCGATAGTTTGATTTGCTCAGAGTCACCAATTTCCACATTTGGTTTTGGAAAAACTTTGCAAAAGCAATTTGGCTCGTACGGAATTGAGGGGTAATGACCGCAACATGATCCGAGAGCTTGGACTTTATTTAAACGAAGTGAAAGTGTTATCCATAATGGTGTAATTGATGCAGTATACAATCCGTCCAACGGTCAAAATCAGTCATTAAGAATCTGGTGACCCGAGAGAGTCTACAAATCTGCGAATAAATGTTGCGGAATTACATTTAACAGAGCAGATACGAGATTTGGCGCGTCCAACAAAATATCTTTACTGCTCTTGATGGCGGTCGTTCGGCTTTCTCTACGTTAAGGATCCCTCTTAACTTGACGCAGAAATAACCTGCTCTTTCTTGCAACAATATGTTCTAACGGGCTAAATGTAAAGGCTAGCTTAATCATTTGGCATGAAGCTCCATCGCACATTGATGAGATTATTTGTTATTTACAAGACTAATCGGACAAATATGAAACATCCGCCACGGTCATCTAACAGTAAACGTGCGTGTGTATTCTACTGAGAGTGTATTATTTCAGAAGAGCTGTATGTATTGTTCCGAGATGATTTACTTGAGTTGCAGAAGGGGGAATGAAGGTTTATGACATTTAATCAGGGTTTCAGAAGATATTTTGATCGATAATCACGATATTTAGAATCGACTAACGACGAAACCGGTATACAGCATCTAGATACGACTGTTTTGGAGTGCATTATTCTAACAATGTACGCAAACCCAACAATCTAGAAAAAAATGAATAAATAGTTTGCCAACCATACCATAATGTTTTGGTGCACAAAAGCAATTGAACATGAAAGCCAAGATCCGTTAAACAGTGAGTGGGGAGAACTTAGATAGCAAGTGACACCAATCTTCACTTACCATCTACAACGTGCGATGCTAAACTATTTTATAATGAAGTGAAGCATGAAATGGTTCTCTTTCATTTTTGTCTGAACCTTATTTAAATTAGGATGCTGTACGAAAAAAAAGGTTAAGGATAGCAGACAACGTGTCCCACGTACCTTTCAATCATACGACTTGCTCGAACGGATTGCATAAAATGACATTTTTACTATCGTACTTCTTGTTGTGCTTAGCTTTAACCCGAGGAACAATAGTGTAAAGTGTACGTACACCAAGTGGTATATCCCTCCCCCAAATGGGGATACCACTGGGTCATAATTACTTGCCTTTCGCTACGACACTACGAGCACCCAATATACCAGGGACTTTTCTGTTCAACTTGCTCCAAAAGACGTCGCCCATGCGCCAGAAGTCATGCAGGCCGTGCTTGGTGCGGGGGGAACTTAGATGTTCTTCGAGGAGCGTGCCACAGTGGCTCTATCGATCGGGACCAGCACATGCGCCTTCAACAAAGAATACACGGCCAACATACTTTCCGCCTTTGAAAGCTACTCGATGATAATGAGTTATATTTCACCTAACCTCTGCATGAGTTGTGCAAGTGTACTTGCTCCCTAAGACCAAAAGGATAACAACTCTTTGTCTTGGAACTCACGAAGATGTTCAGCTTGTATTCAATGAGTTTGGCCTGGCTCAGCTAAGTTTTCCCGAGAGTTACAGTGACTTTGATAAGTCTGTTTTATGCGAACCACGGCGAAAAAATCGGTTAAATATATCGAAACTCGCCTGCCATGGACCTATGTGTGTGTGGAGCTTTCACCCAATCGGAGAGCAATACATTTGATTAGCATTTGCTTGAAGAGCACTTTTGACCCCTCAAATCATCACACCTCATGCGATCCTCTTACCGCAGGACCAGCAGTAATTGAGGAAATCTGTGCCCATTACGAATTGTACGTATGTTACCAGACTCTGGCAAATTTGCTAAGGCTTATATGACTAAATTCAGCATTGACCGGTAAAAGCATGTCAGTATGCCCTTATCACAGCTTCAAAAATCAGCTTTAGCAAAATGATCGTCCTACTACTACTGAGCGTCGCTGATTGCTTAATTGACCTAGTCCAACTCGCATATTAAGAAGGACGCTGCGTTACAAAAAGCTGTTCCTTTCAGTTGGACAGTGTAACCAGAGAAGGTGCCGAGTCGCCAACCATCGATGGCTTCCTGGCACTTGTCAATATGGGGCCCCCGATTCCTTAGAGAAAAAGCATCTTATTTCTTAACACTGAACTCGTCAGCCTTAAATATGTCTCACGTGATCTGCTTATTGAGTCAAGCCAGCTGATTGCGATCCTCATTCAGCTGCTCCGTGAACATTCTTCGTGTTGTGGGGAGTCTTACACAATAAAATCCGATCGCTGCTGAAGATAAGCAAATCGCTCAGCTACAATCGGGGGTGGTGTCGCATTGAAATGCCTTAGTCAATTTAATGTACGTCTGAACGGCTTGCAGAGTGGGGTCATTGTAAAGCTCATGAAAAGAAAGGGTGTGTTCGCCTCTTTTCAAGGATATTCAGAGTCTAAAGCAAACTGTTTGTGGCGATAATCATAATGAGCTTCTTTTTCCGACGTAAGTATGTCTTATAGACTACAGGCACTGCATTTGTAAGATGGCTAACAACGCTATATAAAATCTTATCACCCTCAACAGGTTGCATCTATGTACCGCTTCTGGAGTCCTAGCCAGAACGTCGCACACTTAGTGTATGACGCTTAGTCTCTTCGTGATAAGACCGTCAAAGTGTAGCCGGGTTCATATCAGCATGTCGCTGAAATTTTTTTAATTGCAGATAAGAGCTACTTTGTTGGAAAACCAAGAGGACACCAGGATAAAGTGAAATTAAGGAATCAATGACGTGAGACCTATATCTCTACCGACCGAGCAATGCCGCCTATCTATCTACCCGCCTGTCAATGTCTCGCAATAAACTTATCCGACCTGATCCCAGTCACCTTCAGCTAAATAAATCAGAATTTTGCTAAAATGGCGCCAATCTCGTCACTCGACAATAAGCCAAACTAGCAGTATGGTTCTTCAGAAACAGCTTGACTGTACTTTCATAAGTATTGTGTCTCTGACAGTAGCGAGATGAGCCAACTTACTGAAGGAATCACAAAGACAATACTGCAGCATTACTGGACGATTCGTTTGAACAATCAAAATTAACTCCATGGTAATGGACAGCCAAAGATCATGCTGGCCAAGGACGCTGCTTCTTGCGGCGGGAACGTGCATGCAGAGTTCTAATTCTAATTCGTTGATACATGTTGAGAAGCCTGTACATTCCACTTACTGAGCTGTATGTCTAGTGTATCACATTGATTTGTATTTAAGGACCTCATCGTGTTATACCAACACGTGGTGAGTATAGTAGCAAGCCTTGGAGTAATAAGAACGATGCAAAAGTGCAAGTTAGCGCTTTGGCCAAGTCGCATTTAATTTTTCCTGCTTGTTAACGATTACAACATCGGAGCATAAGTGTCAACTGGTCGTGAAGTTACGTATCACCTCATCAAGGCGCGACGTCACCATTGTGTAATGCGACAGTTTTGAGTCGATGTAGGAACTGTCGTAGCTCTTTGCATAGAAGAAGCGAATGTAAGGTCACCAACCTTACGTTCTTTACAAGAATCAGTAAGAGTGTAGCGGATCGTACTCCGCTGCCTCCAAGAGTACCTAAAACCTTAGCCAAGATGAATGAAGTCTTCTTTTCAGAATTAAAACGGTGTTGATTTGTTTTAGTTGCGGCAGAGCCGCCAATAATTAAAACCACAGGTCTTCCTAATTATTAAACTACTACTCATTTAATATAGTAAAAAAAAACCTAATTAATATGCATTACTACTAGCAATCCTGCCACTTGGTGGCTTCTTGTTACAGTGTAGCCAAAAAAAAAACCTAATTAATATGCATTACTACTAGCAATCCTGCCACTTGGTGGCTGGCTTCTTGTTACAGTGTAGCCACGCTGCCGTGTGATTACACCAACTCGTGTAATCTACACCTATGTACGGTCACACCATCTTGTGCGACCCGCCCTTTCATACAAGGGTACGTAAAACCCCGTCACAGTTGGGGTGACGCGAAAGTTCACCCTTTTTTGCACTAACGGTCTCAACATAGTATAGTTTTGTGTGTTATGAAATGTTATCTTCGCCAAAATAATCGCATATGTTACCGGGAGGATATTCATCAGCTCAGCACTTGAATTGGCGGATCTTAGCGTGCCTCAGAGCGGCGGCGATGTGCGCAAAGTCAATCTTTTTTTTGTCCAAAATTATCGCGATTTGTGCATAGACAATATCAGAAGCACAAGGCTTGCGATGGCTTAAAGATTATCAAGTGCTCGTGCAAGAAACTAGAAACTTTCAGCTGGACATATTGACCAGTTAGTTCCCACAATGTTCAGTGAGCGCGATTCAATATCACCATATAGCAAATTTTTATGTATTTGTGATGTTTGAGTCTAAAGTGAGCCTATTTTCACTGCTAAACAAACGAAACCGTGGGAGCAGCTTTTTGAGATAAAAACACTGAGAGATTAAAAAGGTTTAGCTCCTCTTTGTGGGGGGGCACGAATACCAAATACCATTCTTCAAATTTTATCGTGGTGGGTCTCGAACCTGCATACCCCACTGAAGGTATTGGGTAAACAGAGTGAGGAGAGAACTTTTGAGTGAGCTTCTTGGATATATACTCACATATTACTTCATTGCGCTCGATTGTAACCTTATCAGAACGATAATGCAGTCTAGCTTCGTTGCTGCCTTTCATCTACTTATTTAAACTCATTCTTTTCCCTTAAAGCTGTCAGCGACTACGCTGGGGGCCAAATAAACAAATCCACAGCTTTTAGCGGGTATGTTTGGCTCTTCTCGTCAGAAGTCCATGCTGCTTTCTGAAGTTGTATGAGTGCCAATGTTGAAGATGTTGCACAAAGGAAATACTGCATCGTCGAGAAGTAGCAGAAAATCAAGGTAACGAATGACTCCGAGAGAGTCTTGGGCCTTTGCGAAGTTTATAAAGCGCTAGAAGTATTGAATGTGGGCAGAAATACCGTCACAATGACCTGAAGATTTCGGACCTCCAGTGCAGGCTATTTACTGCCAATCATGTACTAATTGCTGTACGATTACATGAAGTGAGCTTCACTGCATAGAGTATCTGCTATACTTGGTGAATGCTTCATCTCTATTTCTAGCGCCCGTTCGCGCATAGTAACGATACAAGCCACTTGAAGCTCGGATTAAATATTTCGACACCATATTAAGAACGGGCACGCAGAGCTGGGAAGCGGTTTACATTCCAAGAACAAGTATCGAAGGAACTTTATCGTAGCACAAACGTCGCGGTTCAATAGCGGATGCCGAGATTGGTGTGTTCCAAGAATCAAAGGCAAAATGCAAGTTGCCACTGATGAATAAGATCGGCAGCAGAGTTTTGCATAGCCAATTTCATAGTGGGCTATGTGCCTTGATTGTCGCTTCTGTGACGTGATCGGATTAACTTGCGGATTTACCAACTACTTGTGACGTGGTCGCCAACTGCTTGCCGTAAAGCAGAGGACGATCACGCCAAATTTTACATAAGATCAACTTTTACATGTCTTATCTCAATCCTACATTCCTATCGGACAATATTACCATGCTGGAATAATCAACAACATCATACGGTTGATGCTGGAGCGTCAACATCGACGTTGGCAATTGCTCATTGGTTGAAAGTCTAC